CTGGCACCCCCCCCGCCCCCAGCCTGCCTGTCTCTACACACAAGCCTGGGCATGAGCCCCGTGCCCCGTGGATCCTGCCCTGCCCTGCCCTGTCCATCGGCCCACCTGAGTCCCACTGCCACCCCGCCGTGCTTGCCGGCTGGGGGACGAAGCTCGGGGGCACCAGCTTCGTGAGGGACGGGATGGCATGGGACGGATGGCGGGGCCGTGGCCCCGGGGCAGCGAGGCGCTGGGCGCGGCCCCTCCTGGCACAGCTGCGGGTGGCATCTCAGAGGAGCCTCTTCCGTGTGTGCGTCTTGGGGGGAAGGCGCTCAAAGGCTTGTCTTCTATAAGATGATGGCAATGGTGGGCGGAGATAGGCTCTTCGGTTTCTGTTTTTTAACTGTTCTTACTTGGAGCCATGAAGGGGAAACCCTCAATCCCGAGCTGTGTGCCCGCAGCAAAGAGTGACCCGGAGTGTGCAGCCCTCCTGCCATCTTCTCCAACGGTCTGAGCACCACGGCCCTGCTGGGTGCCGACGGAAGGGTGGCGGGGCCCCGACGCATTGATATTAAGACCCTGCTATTTTGGTATAAGAAACGCTTCCAGTCACATTAGAAAGTAAATGTGCAGGGAGACGCCAGTCATCAGGGCCGGGACGTCAGTGAGGGAGGCAGACGCTGTTGATCGCTAGGGGCCAGGACTCCGGTCCCTTGTCCACCTGCTGGGGGCCTGGCCGAGAGGCAGTGGCCTGGAGCTGTGTCCGGAGCAATGCGGGGACGTGTCCCCATTGAAGCAGGGTGACCAGGCACCTTCTGTCTGTCCTCGGGACACTGTGCCTGCTGGGGTCCTGCGGGGGCCCTTCCCTCCTGAGGCCGGCAGAGCTGTGCTGTGTCCGTTGTCATGAAAACAACGGCAAAGCCACAGATCCAACCCGGCCAGTCGCAGAAGGGACTGGGGACGGTGACATCCTCCAAAGCTGCTCTGGCCACCATGTGAGTGCCCAGGGCCCAGGTGAGCACCCAGGTGGCAGCACCAGGGGCTGGTAAATTCCCACCCGCTCCGGGCCTCCCGCTGTGCTCGCCTGGGCTGGCTCTGCACCTTTTTGTTCAGCTTCTTTCACTTTAAAAGGAGCCTCATTCAGACCTGCCCCTAACACCTTGCTCACCGGCCATTTCGAGCCAGAACTTGCCCGTGCGCCCAGCTGCTTTGGTCAGCAAGGTGTTTAAAATTACTTAAGTTAACGTAAGTGCAGACACCAGTTATCCTGTGGCCCTCGCGTGACTGGTCAGCCACGTTCGGACACGGAAACGTGTGCATGCCCGTGACCGGTCGGCAAGGTGTTAAGTGCCCGCGGGAGCTCAGAGGAAAGAGCACGCACGGGGACCGCTCCTCAGGGTACAAAGTCCAAACCCATTCGCAGGCCGCTGCAGACGGGACCTCAGCTAAGGAAGGCGTCACAGGTGAGAGCTGGCAAACGCAGCCCCCAGCAAAGCAGAGCGTGGGTCCCCGAAAAGACCAGGCGAGGACAGCGGGGAGTGTGGGAACAGAGAGAGAGGCCTCAGGCCGTGCCAGGCCCGTGTGGGTAGCCACTGGGTTTCCTGCCCGTGGGGTCCACACCTGTACCCACGTGGAGGGCCGGTGAGCCCCTGGCCTCCTGGGAGAGACCCCCCGTGGCTCCCCGCTGCCCCCCAGTAGCTCGGCGCCCGCTCCCTGGGATGCGCGGCCCCCACCAACCTGCTTGCCGGATGGGGCCGCTGTCTGTGCTCCCTCCGAAGCCAAACTTGTCACAGAAGGGGGGTGCCCAGTGGGCCTCGCAGTGGCAATTCTTCCTGTTGTTACACACCTTTCAGGGCGGCCGGGGAGAGGGCGGGGAGAGGGAAGCAGAGTTAGGGCACACCGCCCACCCGGGCAGAGGTAGTCTCTGAGCCCTCACTGGGCGCCATGGCAAAGCAAAGGTCCTGTGGTCAGAGCCCCCCTCGTGAGACGGGGGCCGGCTGCCCTAGGGCAGGATGGGGGTGCCTGAGAGAGCAGCAGGAGGCCCCGAACAAGGAGCCCAACGCAGAGGCCGGAGCACTCCCTGGAGGGGCCGCTCCCGCTCAGCCGCTCCCCAACCTGGGCCACGGTTTCACGTGTGAGTGTGACACAGGAAATTACCGAACTACCACGCGAGCCTGAGCATGAAACCGGGGGCACTGCTTCTACGGAAACTGGGCTGCAGGCTTTGGGAACATTGGATAAAGGCGAGTCACTAAAAGAACCTCTGGAGTGGGCGGGGCAACCGCAAGGCCGGGAAGCCGCAGGCGACGGAGGCTCCTGGACTCAGGCGGCTCCTGTGTCTCAGTGTCCCTTCCGCCTAAAGGGACAAGCCACACGTTGTAGCTGCTGCGCCGGGCGGTTCACCGCGTGAGGAAGTCAGTGTGGAGCCACGGCCACCAGGCCCGCCCCAAATGCTGGGTGGGGCCGAACACACATTTTTATAGTTTAAGGCAAAATACAATGTTTGGAGTATATGTCTCATTGGTGATATTTCTTTTTAAATTTTTTTTTAATCAACCATCCACCTGCCCCAGTTGCTTTAGATAAGACGGACAGCCAGGACAGCCTGTGATAAGTGGGAAAGCATAGTTCTATGAAGCTAGAGCTAATTACCGGGCGGCAGAGCCTATGCTGAATCCGAGTATCTCGCCTGTTCCCTCAAAGCTGCCGCTGACCTACCACCCCTGGGACCCAGGCCCTGCGCAGCCTGCGACGCGCAGTCCCGCGCCCTGAGCAGCTGGCGGCAGAGAAGTGGCCGCCCTCGCACCCCACCGGGGGTGCCGGGGGGGAGCCTGGGCTCGCCAGGGCAGGACTGGGGTCAAGTTACTCGCTGCCAAGTCATGGCAGCTGCCCCATCGGCCCAGACTCCGTGGGCCTTTCCTCTCCAACACAGGGATGGGACCCCAGGAGTGTTGGGAAGCGAGGAGTCCAGCCAGGGTCCCCCACCCAGCATTGCTACTCATTGGTCAAGCAACCTTGGACATGTCACTGTCCCCGCTCGAGCCTGGGCTGCTTCATCGGTAAAGTAATAGGGCCGCCCGAGGCTGCTTCTCCCAGCCGCTCGGAAGGAACCTGCGACCAATGAAGACATGAGATTCCACCTCCTGCCGACAGCTCCACTCCCAGGGCGGGGCACTGCGTCCCTCACGGTCACGGCACAGCCGAGGTTCTGCGAAACCCTTCGTTCTATGTTAGAGTCACTGGGGGTGTCCGCAAGTTTTAAAAATAGAATTTGGAGCACGGTTTCCGAAGAAGGTGTTTGAGAAAAACAAACGGGCCGCTGGCAAATCAAGATTAATATGGCTCCGTGGGAAACGATTAAGCCCATCAGGAAAAATGAATTGTGTTTTAGACAATTAGAGTTCCCTTCTCCCCTAAAGCTTCTCTGAACTAAAATAACAGCCTTCTCTAGTCAAAACCCATTGCACGGGGTTTCGAGCCCATGCGGTCGGCCGGCGCTCTGCCTTCTTTGTTCTAATTCCTTCTGCAGGTATTTCGGTTCGGGCTCATAGTCTGAATCTCGGCCATAAAAGGAACAGCTGTTCGAAATGTTATTGCAAAACTCCTCATGGAGGACGGTCAGTTTCACAATTACTTTGAGGATGACAAAGTCCTTTTTTTAAAAATAAAAAATCACAGAATGTTAATTTGAAAGCTAATGACCGCTCGATCGGATGTTTTGTTAAATAAAAATCACATCTGTTAGGCCATGGAAAGGTCGAAGAAAATCAACGTCTTTAGAAGAAACTATTGTGGTTTTGAAAAGTCACAGACTGCGGTCCTGGCTGGTGCGGCTAAGTAGTTAGGACGTCGGACCGAGGGCCGAAGGGTTGCGGCCTCGATTTCCGGTCAAGGGCGTGTATTTGGGTTGCAGGTCCGCTCCCCAGCCCTGGCCGGGGTGCGTGCAGGAGGCAACCAATTGATGTGTCCCTCTCAAATCGAGTCTGTCCGTCTCTCTGTCCCTCCCTTCCACTCTCTAAAAAGCTTCAGATTATGAAAACCTTCACAGGGAATGAGCTGGTGCTTAACCCGTAACAGACCCGCCGGGAAAACGCTTCCCGTCTACTCACCCCTCTGCTGTGGCATTGCTTCGCACACTCGTGGACACCGAAGACACTAATATTCTGGCACCGACGATTGAGGCAAATCTACAGAAAGGAAAACAGAGTAAATTTCTCAGTACTTCCGCAAACGCACACACACACACACACGCATATCTGTGTGTTTACGAGAAAGCAAAGGGAAGTTTGGGGTCGATGACCTTCCTGTTAATAAGGAGAACAGGGCGGAATGATGCGTTTTTCACATGACGCGGGCACGGTCCCGATGCCTGTCTCCAATCTCAGCACGTGTCGGGACTCACGTGGACACTGCCGAGTCCTTTCATACTTTTACGGCATTTTATGTGGTTTCAGTCAGTCCTGAAACGATGCTGGCTTTCTCCTGGTTTTTGTTCAGAGCTTGCAATAACAGCGACGTATTGCGGCATTTTTTTTCTCCGTTAAAAGATACGAGAGCGAGCGAGCCCTGGCCGGAGTGGCTCAGTTGGTTGGGTGTCGTCCCAACTGAATCACTGGTTAGATTCCTCGTCAGGGCACCTGCCCAAGTTGCTGACTCGATCCCCAGGAGGGGGCATGCGGAGGCAGCTGATCAATGTTTCTCTCTCATCAGTGTTTCTATCTCCCTCTCCCTTCCTCTCTCTCTAAACTCAATAAAAAAATATTTTAAGAAAAGATACAAGAGAGGGCGCCATGGACGAGTCCTTACCCCGGGGCCTGTGTAGACTCAGAGACCAAGAATACAAGGCCCGGAGTCTTTGAAGGGAGATAGCGAAACATGGGAGCTTTTCTGAAACACTGACTGGCAAGCGCCATCGCCGGTGACATAAACCACAACAGAGCTGCTCCGGAGGGGAGCCCAGGCGGCCGGGCCCTGGTGCCGATCGCGCCTCCGCAGGGCAGCCCTTGGCCGAATGACCCTGGGCTGGTTGAAAGAGTTTAGTTTCATTTCAAAGGAGGGTAACACACTCCAGACTCAAGGGACTGGGCCCTGACCTCCCGTGAGATGCTGCAACTGGCGGCATCCAGGGGAGGAAAGTCTAGCTTGTCGACCGCAGGAGCCTTTTTAATCACGTAGGACCTTCCTACGGGAAGTTCACCGTCGCGCCCCCGTAGCTGGTGTGAGGCAGAATCAACGCAGCTCCAGGGCCGGTGGTCGTCTCGGCCAAGGGGACTCACGTTCCAGCCGATAGAAGAAACCGTCTGAGGTTGCAACGAACACACCGGGCCCCTGCTCAGGGTCTCAGAGCCGTTCTCCCCCGAGCCCACAGCCCAGGCTACAGACGGCCTTCAAAGGACCTGTGTCCTGCAGAAACGGAGGTCGAGCCCACTGACTATTGCGCGTGGAGGAAACACTCATTGAAAAACCGAGTCCTTGGTATTTCAGTGTCCAGATGCACCTGACCTGGCTGCTCCGACGACGGTTTTAAAAATGGCTGTCGCCCAGCCGTGTGGCTCAGAGATTGAGAGTCGTCCCGTGAACCAGGCGGTCACCGGTTCCATTCCCGGTCAGGGCACATGCCCGACACTGTCCACGCTGACCCCGCGGGAGCGAGTGAGTTCATGGTCATTTTGAAAATGGGGCCCTAGAAGAGCACGTGGGGCTGACCCACCTTCGTTCCCGGGACACTTGGTTAACTTGCTATCGTCGGGCCTGATGAGAAAGTCTGGTGAGAAGAATCCGTGGGGCAGAGGGTGACATCTCAATCTCTTATTTTTTTTATTTTTGAATTTTTTTCTAAACCCTAAAATATCTCAGTTTGCCTTTCTCCCCAGTCTCCAGAGAACGCTGTTTCTCGGCCTTCGGCGTATCCCGTCTCTTCCCCTGTCCTGTCCTTTCCTTGGGGTCACTGAAAACACACCTGGCTTCCCCTTGCCCGTCCGGGTGGGGACAAGACCCCGAGGACCCAGCGCCAGAAACCGAGGCCGCGCTTCCCAAAACAACACAGCCCACTTCTGCCTTTCCCTCCGCAGCAGCTCCCGGCCGGAAGCCCTGGCCTCGCCCAGGCTGTAGAAATGGCTTATTAACAGGAAAGAGCCCAGAAAACAGGCTTGACTTTCCCAAATCTGCATCCCAGGGGTCAGCCCAGGACCTAGGACTTTTTGATCTTTTCTTCCAGGTGCAAAGAACTGGATCGCAGAGACCACGTTCGGAGCGGGAGGGGGGAGGGGACTGAGGAAACCGAGCACTTCTCCGGGGCCCGGTCCCAGCCTTACGTTTACAACACGCACGAGCGTCACACTTTTGGGTCTTACTTTGCCTTCCGCGCACTTGGTGCCGGCGAGCACCAGCCCCGGGTCCGGCATGTCGTCGCCCAAGTACACGTGGGTCCCGCGGCACAGAATCCGGCCCCCTTCCTGCAGCGGGATGTTCGTTTCTATGGAAACGGCATTGGTACCAATGACTGGCCGGCTGGCGCCTCCTTGACACTGGATTTTCCCACATTTAGCGTCTCTGGAAGGGAGAGAACAGACGGTCCCCGCGAGGGGGAGTTTGGAACCAGCACCAAGCCAGGTGGGACGTTCAGCGCGGGCGGCGGGGACCGGGCTCCACACCTCATCTCGCACTTGGCAAAGGAACTCTTGGAGTCTTTGCCGCAGTTGCCGTAGGGGTCGCCTGCGGAGTTGACTCTCTCAAAGCAGATCCCAGGGGCGGGTTTTGCACCTGAAACAGAAGCAGAGCAAGTGGTTTCCGTGTTTTCCTTGGGACAGCGCTGGGCTTTCAGGTTCAGGGGAGACGTGCTCTGTGTGCGGAGGACTCGCACCCGCGTCCCGGCTGACTCCCCACAGGCGCTGGCCAGTGGAACCCACCTCCTGTCTCCCTCCGATCACGGCCGACCTTGCATTTTGTTTCATAGCTCGGGGGCGAGGCCTGGCTGTGGGGCCAGACCCAGTGCCCACAGAAACGAGGCGGCTGGCGGCAAAGGAAGGGGGGCGCTGTTCTCCCTGACAACACCCCACCGTTCCGGTGAGAAAATGGGAGCTCTAGCCGGTCCCACAGAGTGATGACGGCCAGTGTGGGGAGCAAGGAGAGAGAGAACCAACAGTCACACGGAGGCCTTACAGCCATTCCGGCCCCATAAGGCTTCCTGGGTTCACAGGGCAGAGGCTCCCCTCGGAGGCCAGAGGCTTGGAGACACCACACCCGACAGCCACCCTGCACAGCCCAGCAGCGCCCAGCAGGGAGGGGAGTGGGCGCCAAGAGCTCAGCAAGTGGCCGTTTTTAGCACATTCTCCGGCCAGGGGCAGGGAAAGCATATCACTGGGTTTTATGCCAAAGCTTTAGAAGGCTCTCAGTCCTGTGCCCATGGGTACCTGTTGAGACTATATCAGAAATTCAGGGAAAGGTTCCCGTCCTTTCACTTACACTGTGCCCTGCGAGCAACCTGGGCCCTCTCTCCCGCCGGGTGTCCTGTCTGGACGCCTCCTCTCACGTCACTTCCCACTGCCAGGAGGCCAGCGTCCCGGGTCCCAGCTCTACTCCCAGCTCCAGGAAGGCGCCGCTCGCCTTCCAAGGTGACCGTTGGCTTATTTGGGACGGGAATCTAATGAAGGGCAGGGCTCCCCTCCTCCCGGGAACGGAGGTGGTCCTGTCGCTGAAAATGCCTGTCTCTCTTCAGCCTGCACCCGACTCCCCTTCACCAGCTACGCGCAGACACAATCAGCATCTCATCAGAACAAAGACGCGAGCAGACGAATGAAACCGAATGACACCCGGTCACCGCTCAGGCCAGCCGTGGGCCCCCCGCCGACGTCCGCCCCGGCCGCCCCAGCCCTGGACTTCTCAGTTTCCCAGTCTCTGTTTTCCAACCGTTTCAGAGAGGCCTCCCACGCTCCCGTCTAAGGCATCCCCCAAACCCGACACAGTTCACGGCAAGGGGCAAGGTCTCCACGCTTCGGCCCCACGTGCCTCTCACGGTCACGTGCTTGCGCACAGTGTGGCCGCAGCCTGGCCTGCCCGGCCCCTGCAGGGGTGGGTCTGTTCCTTGCACACCCTGCCCTCTTACTCCTTTCATCCGCTTGCTGGAGGGAGGGGGGGTTGTCTCAGTGTTGAGCCTGAACTTTGTACTTAAAATAATCCTGTTTGATGTACTTTGATCAGAGTACCTGGATCCAAATGATCAAAGCGGTTTGGAAAAAACCGGCGTTTAGAATTACTCAAGGCAGTTTGTGTATTTGCAGGGGCGCTGCGTATTTATTGCCCGTTGGTCTGGCTTTGTCTCTCCTTTCTGCCCGCCTGCCCCCCTGGAAGGCGCCCTCCTGGTCCCCCTGGCAGCACAGGCTGTGACCCGGGTGAGCTCCTCCGAAGGGCAGGAGGCCTACGTGACTGTCGCCCAGGGGCAGGCGGGAGCTGGGAATCACAGCTGCCGAGGCTCAACCCCGAGGGCAGGATCGTCCAGAGGCTGTGGAAGCTGAAGGGGGACCCGGCCCTGAACGTGTCCCACAGCACCCTGCGCCGAGCTCAGACCAGGACCCGGTTCCCATCCGTTCCCGTGCACCTCCAGCGCCCGGGGGCATCGGGGTGCGGGCACCCACCACACCGGGACGGCGGGTTCTAAATGAGTTTTTCAATAGGACAGTCCAGTGACGCCTATTTGGTGACACCGCTTATTCGCACGGCACAGGGACGAGTCACATGCACGCTTATGACCCAGAAGGTGCATCTCAAGAGGAGGGATCCATGCTTTGGATGATACTAAACAGTATTCTGAAACCGGTGCCTGAGGTTCCCTTTCGATCGTTTGAACGCCCTCCGAGTTTGTCACCGTCCGTCTGCGAAGGTGCTGGGGGTTTCCTGTGAACCCGGCTGCCTGCACCTGGCCAGAAACTCGAGTCCCTGTTCTAGTTGGGGATTATCACCCCCAAAAGTAGGAGAAGCAGCTAGCTCGGTACTTGTTTCCTTTTAAGGATAAAATTCATGTGAAAGGGGTCGGCACAAAAAAAATGTTGAAACTAAAAAAAAAAGGTGTAAATGACTTTTCTACCCACTCCTGAGATGCGATGAAGCACCGGCCTGGTTCACCGGTGCCGCCCTCCCGGGTCGCTTCTCGTGTTTCCGTGAAGACGAGGCTTCGAGTCTGTCTCTTAGGAAAAAAATGACACATTTTCTTAGCGCTACTATGTTGCATCAATTTACAGCCGCTGAATCCTTCGTGATGGACCATGTAGCCGTTTTGCATCATGAAACGATGAGACTTGGCCCGTGGGAGGGAATTCTGACGTCCCGCGTGTTTGAGAACCGCTCGGGAAGTGGTGGATTTTAATTACCGCTTTTATCTCAGAGGAACAGCACTTCCATGGGACCCTGCGGTTTGGCAGTTCCCAGTGTCAGCTTGTCCTGTGAAGGAGGCGGGATGACGTCCCGAAGAAGCCCACACGTCACGCGATGTAATCTTCCCTTAAGACGACTCCGTCCTGCAAATGCTCCTCTCCAGCCCCCAACCCGCTCCCTCCTCCGCCCCGCTCACCCCACCAGCGACACAGGCCTTCCAGGGACACCGAGCCCTCCCTTGTTCTCTCCGCGTCTCTCTCTGTCTCCCTCCAGAGTGACCTCTGCGCTCGTCAGAAAATGAAGCCCAGACGGACACGGTTTGTCATTTCCGCCTCACACCCGGGGCCGAGGGGGCCTTCGGCTCCGAAACAGGGAGACTCTTGGGAAAGCTGCTCTTCCCCCCCCCCCC